CTGGAGCGGGCGATTTCCTTCGGGGGAATATATAGCAGTTTTTAGACTATTTATTGCTTCAATCGACATTCGTTTTCATATGGGAAATAACAAGGGCGCTATTCTCTATATTCTGAGAGAATTTGAGGAGTTTCTATCCATTAGCAACCGAGAAAATACTCCGAGAGTGACACGCTTTGAAAACTTACTTTGCAGAATTTACTAGGGGAAATTTCGATCTCCGCAACAAAAGCAGGTGGAGTTGGCCTTTCATTATGCGATCGGCTGAATTTTATTTCAAAATATGATGCTCGGATAGTGCCTTGCCTTCGATCTCACAGTTGTTTTGCATGTTCGCGCATTAAAATGCAGTCCTTACACATCATGCATCATGCAATAGATCCCGAGGGATTTTACTAGATAACTTTGTTCGTGTTATGTTTTTTATTCTTTTTTTTCCCTGGTTTTCTTGCAACTTTGGGCGTTCTTCGTTCAGTACGGAATCCGAGCGCAATTTCTGAGGGAAATTCTCATGCACGAATTGTAATTCAGCCTGCTAATCTGTACTATAGCTATAGTGAATGGTTGACCGGTTCTTAGCACGTTTCATAATTACCAATATTAAACACAATTTAAATGACTGCAATGCTGCGATGTTACAAGTATTACAATCGCTTCAGTTTCTGTCGGGCGGTTTTTGTAAGTCTCGGGCGGTTTTTCCATACTCTCGGGCGGTCACGGGTGGTTTTTAGTAAGTGCCGTAAAATATATATACCATATCATGCAGGCTGTATGTTCGGGTAACTAATTTTTTATTGTATATAATATTTAGCTGTAATTACGTTTTTTTATTCTACCATTTCTTTTATTCTATTTTATTGAAATCATATTTTCTCACGGGCAGTTTTTTCTAAACTGTCGGGTGGTTTTTTAAGTGTCGGGCGGTTTTTCTGTACTCTCGGGCGGTTTTTAGTGGGACCCTCCATGGTGTCACTCCTTCGCACTAATAAAAATGTACGCGTGGGAAATTATATCATTCAAATTACTAGAAAAATTGAACGAACACTCACCTGATGTTCTTTTTTATTTAAAGGTGCTTTTCGCCTTTTGAAAGTCTCCAAAAGTTTGTAAAAAGCTGTCACTCAACACGAAAAATTTAGCAAACTTGTAAATTCAATATGGCCGCGAAGCATATTTTAGTGAAGGCCTGGTTGCTACGTTTTGAGCGATTTTGGTCAGAGATCACAAAAATACGCGACCTTCTATTTTCTAAAAAGTCTATTCTTAATTGTTAACTGATTTCTCTGATTTTGTGAACATAGATAATCACATTTTATTTTGCAATACAGCGATTCGTTTTCAGAAGCATTTCATATTTGAATTAAAATGGTCGCCCCCATATGTAACTCCTGAGAATGCTTTAAAGTAATTTTTAATGCCTTAAACTTTAAAAGCTGATTGCTTACATGAATACAGTTGCAAATATTATGCCCTTTCCTGACGAATTTTAATTGCTTGGTTCACATTCACACAATTTATGTGGAAGGCCATCAACATTGGGTTAATGTGTTTTAATATCAGTGGAGGAATAGAGAAGATAAAGTGAAGCAAATAATGTCAAAGGTAGCCCAACACTCGTGTTCCGCGCGCGTACACGCTACTCAGTGATTTGAGTAGCGTGTACGCGCGCGGAACACGAGTGTTGGGCTACCTATGATAATGTATTGCTATTTGCGTTTAGCAAAATGAATTATAAAATGATTTATTGTAATAATATGATACAGTTGTATTACAGTAAACACAACTTGCACATTTCTTTTGCAAAGGCTTAGCTTCATTGCTGCTAGTTCTTTAGAGGCTATATACCCACATGCATGTATGCCTTGCATACCTATTTTTCTAAATGTAATCAATCTTAGGCATAATATGGCCATCTTATAGATTTTAAAATTTTTATTTACTCCGATTTATCTCATCAGTTTTTATGATTATGACAAGTATGAATACTATATATTTACTGTGCTGTTATTAAATTTTGTTCACTAATCTTTCCTAATGTATTTTGTCTTCATTTAATATTACAATGTTGCCTGGCAAGAACAGCTCAGAAGTTTCTCAAAAAATTTTAGAAACGACTTGTCTTCATGAAATTCATTTAGACATTTTCGATCTTTGCTTAAGATTCCGGCAGCAATTTTTTCATCTAATAAGAACTTCTAGTAGTAATTCAGTATGCTCTTTTTATTAATTAACTGTGGTGATTTATTTCCTTCTCGTTACCTATTATGTAAGTAGTTCACACTCCTCACGCCAGTGACGCCACTGCTGCCACTGTTCGTAATTTGATTTAATTTGCTTTAAATGTATGATATGACTTACACTTATCCAATTTGATAGGATAGCAATACGGTATTTAACCCTGCCATTTAGTCCACGGCACAGATGACACTTACCTTAAAGAAGATAGCGATGAAATTTGTTCATAAATTTGTTCAATGATGGTTGTCAATAATGGACTTTTCTTCGCTTTATAGATAGGTAAACCTTGTTTGACTACTCCGTATATTAGCCAATACAGCAGCACATGTACATTATAAAGAACGACCAGCCGATAGAAAAAATCAAGGACACTTTGTAAGCAGTTTACAACCAATTGTATAAATCCTTATACCGTTTTAAAACAGCCTTCGATAAAGAATATAAAGTCCCGTATGTTGTTGTTGCCCACCTACTGGGCTTATATTATAATTTCTGGACTTGGAGGAAATGCTCATTGACAATGTGATTGATATCAGTCTAATTTGTCCACTGTTACTGACCCATTTAATAATACGTATTCTTGTTTCCCGAGTTTGATGATTAGGGACTTTACGATCACAACGAACGACAGGTAAGTCTATATGCACACGGTAATGTTTTCGAGCGTTTTCACATTCATTTTCATGCCAAAAGGCAAAACGGTTTGATTCAAACACCGTCAACTCACCATAGAAGTTAAAGCTAATTTATAATGGTAATAGAACGAATAGGAGTGCTATGGCGAAATCATACGAGTTATTACAAAATCAACCGGCCGCGTTGCGGGAGGTTGATTTGTTGTTAATCACGAGTATATGTTTTACCATTATATGCACGACTTAATTCGATCTATTACTTTTTACTTATATGCCTTCTGATTAGATAAATTATATTAATAACATAAATTAGACCTAAATTTTGTCATTCCATGTCTATACTTAAATTATATATATACGTACACACATATACGAACACACACAAAAACATACATATATACAGAAACTAAAAATTATTTCCAGATTAAGTATAAAGTATATTTTGTTCATGTGTTCCATTGAACAAAAGCTTGTGCACAACCATCGTATGCCCTCCTTTTACCACCGGTTTGTCGATGACACAATTACCACAGCTAGAAAGTTTAGCATCCGCAGAAGAATTTCTCAACACCTTGAACAACTGCCATTCAGCGTTGAATTTCACAATGGAATGTGAAGTTGACGGAAAGCTGCCCTTCCTGGGTATGGAGGCGGGGGTATGGGGAGGAAGGGCATTAACGTCTAGGGCACTTGCCTGATGAAAAGGGAATTTAACATTGACACGTATAATTGTTGAAAAAAGTTGAATTATATTATTATATTGTTGCGTTGGCATAGACGTTTCCACAAAGAAAAAGGGCACTTTACCTCAGCAAATGGGCACGGCTTTTTCTGTGATTTTTAAAGTTGGTTCCTACGCCCCTGTTTCCAGATTTACTATAAAGTTTAGAACGAATAGAGTCCGATTGAGTGTTCAAAGATGGTGATGGTTCCTTAATATGCAACATCTCGAAAAAAAGGCAGTCATACTTTCCTTGGCATTTCCGAAGAATTGAAAAACAACTCTCAATTCTCGACGTATCTTTACCATGACATTCGCTTACATGTTTCCCGATTACCGACCGCTTGTGTTCGTCAATGCGTTGATGTAAGTGTCGACCAGTAGCTAGTATAGCCAACATAATCTGCATCGCACAGATCACATTTATATCTATATACAACGCGCTGTTGATTTAGAATTGGTGGTTTTACTTCACGGACTTTTAACTCATCCTTAAGCTATCTACTCTTAAAAATGTGCTTTAATATATATTCTACCGATCACCGAACCAAGGCTTGCAAGTTGTCTTCGTACAATATCAGATGACTTTTGATCTTTAAACGGCAGGGCTACACGAATCATATCCTATTTTACATGTTCTGTCGGAGTAGAACTGTTGATTTCTGTATATTTCTTCGTTACAAACTCTGCGATCATTGAGTCAAAGTCTGAGGGGATATCGTAGATTGAGGAAGACGTTCTTTAAACGATCACATTCTTCAACGAAATGTTTCCAAGATGATGACAAACGGAATGCACGATTCAGCATGGTAACTATCAGAGATTTCTTATATCTGTTTGTTGGTGGAGGAGAAGGCTAGTATTAGTTGGTTTTACGTAGACTTTAGTTTCGATTTTGGTACCTGTTCTTATCGCCTCTATATAGGAAGGGCAGCTTTCCGTCAACTTCACATTCCATTGTGAAATTCAACGCTGAATGGCAGTTGTTCAAGGTGTTGAGAAATTCTTCTGCGGATGCTAAACTTTCTAGCTTGAGTGGTAATTGTGTCATCGACAAACCGGTGGTAAAAGGAGGGCATACGATGGTTGTGCACAAGCTTTTGTTCAATGGAACACATGAACAAAATATACTTTATACTTAATCTGGAAATAATTTTTAGTTTCTCTATATATATGTATGTTTTTGTGTGAGTTCGTATATGTGTGTACGTATATATATAATTTAAGTAGACTAAGAATGACAAAATTTAGATCTAATTTATGTAATTAATATAATTTATCTAATCAACTGCATGATCTTAAGCATGCTCGCGCAATATATACTAACGTGACATGAACCGTATCATAACTTGAAAATGATGCACGTTTTGGCATCGAAACGTCGTTCGATAAAGATAATATCGCTATTATTTGTGTCAAAATTGTATTCAAAGAGATTTGTGATAAAGGTTTTGAAAACGCTTAGTAAAATCCAATACAGACCAGACGGGCAAGTTTTCTTTGCTAAGTTTTATTTGCTCGTGTGTACGCGAAATAAAGGCCGGTTTGCACTAGCAAAGTTTCTGTGCCCAAAGTCTGTGTTCAAAGTCTTCCGTCAAAGAACTTCAAAGTGACCGATGTCTTCGAAGGATGTTTACATTTTCAAATACTGTGATCAAAGTATACTTTGACCACAGAAACTTTGCTAGTGTAAACCAGCCTTAAGGATACAAATGGCCGGCTCTACTACCTGACCTGGAGCACCATTTTTGTAATGTGAATGGGTTTTACCTAATCCTGATCTATTTTCAACTTATTAGTATGATCCATACTAGTATTACCACTTTTCGGCATGTTTTCGGTCATGTTCCAAGTATTTTGTCAATTATGTTGGCTATCCGATATCATCAACAAGAAAGGCAGTGAATGTGAACGTGGCACATATAACCAAGACATGTCCTAGACTTGATCTAGGCCTCTATAGTGCAAACGCGGCTTGTATAATATTGGATATCCGATACCATCCAGCAGGAAAGACAGTGTGAACGTGTCACATATTACCTAGACTTGTCCTAGACCTGATCCAGGCCAGATCTAGGCCTCTAGTGTAAACGTGGCTTAGGAGTGCTGTTAATGTGCTATGAATGATCTAGAGCGGTTATGTACCCAGGCGCTTTTTTAGAAAACCAAGGTTATAAAGGTTGCATTCAGCTACAATATGATCTCTAAATTAGCTGAATGAAACCTTTAACCTTTGTTTTTTTAAAAATCGCCTGGGTACAAGGCTGGTATAATTTCTATAGGTCGGTAGTTGCCTAGATAAGTTTCAGTGCCGCTTTGTATAAAGGAAGCACTCTCGCTTCCTTCCAGTGATCACTTGTATTCTCACTTACGCAACCTAGAAATAAAGCAAAAAACATGGCGGATTTTGACATTTTCTGACGCCAGATTGACGTCACTGTTTTTCTCTTTTCCTGCGACGCCGACAGCGGTTAACCGGTTACGATACTGCAGTCCTCAACACTAAATGCATGGTTATAAAAACAACGGATGGAGATGAAATGGCTCGTTGACATTTTCAAGGTGTCCTCTAAAGGAATTAGTGAAAAGGAGAGCAAGATTTGCGCAGCATCTTTACGCTGGATGTCGAGGCTAGAGTACATATTTACAATCGCTATATTTTGACAGAGCGGGATTTTTTATGTTACAATTTTGCCTACGATTTTGCCGTCGTTTTCCGCCTCTTAGGCGGTTTAAGGAACGGATTATCCATAGGTTCTTGTACAGGCTTCTCGCTCGTGCTTTCCTCGGAATCCTGCGGTGTTTTGTCTGGTTTCACTGGCACGATGGCATCTTCAGCAGTAGGCATCAAGGCGGTCAGATATGGCAATGTGGCCGGCTCGTTTACAATTACTAGAAAAGAAAACTGAAATATAAATCTTGCCTCCATTTCAAATTCTAAATTTTATTGCATAAATGCATTCGAAGCTTTTAAAAGTGGGGTTATTCAAACAATTTCCTAAAAGTGTTGGGTTTCTTATCCCTGAATTATTCGTCTTGGAAAGCTCAATTAATTCGCTTTTCCTCATCTTGCTATTCATCCGGTAACAACTGAATTTAAATGCCTGGGGCCGGTTGTTCGAAAGATGGATAACTTATCCAACTGGGACCGGTTGTATTAAGCCCGTTTAGCTTAAACGGTGGATAAGTAAGTTAAAAATAGAAAGCAAGTCTATCGTTTTATTCAACAAGCGAACTAAATGTTTTTAACCTTAATACAAAGATACCGTTTTCAACTACACATCCAGAGCATAATATTCAAGTTGACTCATTCAAGAGAGATGTAAGAGTGTTATTTAATTTTGACTTATCCACCGTTTAAGCAAAACGGGCTTGATACAACCGGCCTCAGACGGGCAAGTTTTCCTTGACAATTTTTCTTGCCAAGTTTTATAGTTTGCTCGGGCCTTTTGAGAAAATACCATTTATAAATGCACATTTCTCATTTTATCAGTTCACTCGCTCGTGTGTATGACGAACAAGTTTTCGTTGACAAGTTTTCCTTGCCAAGTTTTATAGTTTGCTCGGGCCTTTTGAGAAAATACCATTTATAACTGCACATTTCTCATTTTATCACTGCACATTTTACTTTTATCACTGCACAAATTGGTTATCACAGCACACTAAAATTAGGTATGCGCTGTTGCTTTTTTATATGGAGTAACCATTTTTTGTGTCAAAAAAATGGGGAACGTGTTAACGGACAGGGTCATAGCTTCTGATTACTTTCATTCAAACCAACATTTATTTGGAAAGCCGTTTGGTGCGACTTTTGCGGTTAATTATCTGGACACGCACACAATTAGACAAATAGACATATGATTGCACAGCTCAATGCCCACAGGGAACCAGTAATAAGTAATAAGGCATTTTCACTTTCCCAACGGGATTAAATTTTCGGGGAGACCGTGTTTATACAATCCCGGAATAAAAAGTTGATAAAATGTGAAATATACTAACATAAATAGTCCTGAGAGTTCGCGCAGTTTTTCACAATCGGTTCAGAAATTGATGTCTTGGATAAAAATCTAAAATATAACAAAGAGGGAACGTGTTAAAGAATCTGCCTGGGGTCGGTTAGCAGGCACTCCAGTTAGATATTAACTTTCATAATCTGTTCCAACAGATCCCTTGGACGCCGTAGGCGGCTCGCGCCTTACGTTGCTGACGTTATACCAGTCTGGTGATAAGAACTGTTGACGATACACTTACTTTGCGAGTCCTGTTTCCACATCTCGGCGCATCGCAGCATATTTTTCCCGGCATTTTTCGTATTCGTCCGCTTCTCTGCGATATGTCTAACATTAAACAAATGCACGATTTTATTTAATTCACGACACGTGAACGTAGTAAACCATATTCATGCGGAGTAAAATTACCAAGTTTGGGCAACTTTAGATTCGCTATGTTTTGTCGCAATACCCGGGTGTATTTCTGAAGGAATCTTTTGCTCATTGTCATCCTTCTCATTAGTATTTTGTGAATTAAAGAGACTTGAAGATTGTGCATTCTACAGGTGAGCATTTTTGCAAAAATATCTTTGTGTCTTATAATGTAGATCGATTTATGGAGTATTTGCAATTTTTTCAATTTGTTGTAGTTCTTGGAAACGATGCCTGCTAATGCTGATGGATATCCTACCTTCTGGCACTTCTTAATTAAAATATACTGGTGAGTCTAAACCGTCTGAAGAAAAGTTAGGTTCAAAAGAGGCAAAACGAATAAGGCTTGACTTGCATAAACGTCAGTGTCAGAACCTGATAGAATATCTTAAAACTAAGAAGTGAAGATCATAGCTGGATACGAATGAAATCAGGAATCTAAAAAACAAAGCTGCAACACATGTTTGACAACACAAATAAGTGTTCAAGTCATGCTTTATGTCCCTATTCTTACTGTCGCTATTTTTGTTCGGGTTGTGTCACGCATCTAGTTGTAAATTTCAGTCTTTGTGCACCACACGTGTATATCATTATATAATGCAACATACTCTTACTGGCAATAGGTGTCACAACTTGCAGGGTTCAAGAATACTGTTTAGGGCCATAATATATAAATATTTTCCATTACTTTAACCCAATTAAATCTTTGTATTCGGTTTACTGCAATGTAGTGTAGCAGATAACATATAATTATATTTCACAGCTAGTTCTTGCTGAAACACTTTGGACATAATCGCTTTTAAAAATGAGCTGATATACATCGGGCACAAGAAAAATTTGAAGAAGAAAGTAATTATGGAGTTGGAGGAAATCTCAGATATTTTGCACCAATACCACTCAAATCCCATGGGTGGCTATAGTGGAATAAACAGCACACTAGCTAAAATTTCACAATATTACATGTGGGATGGTATGAAAGCTGATATGACTGCATAATATAAGTATATTCTATGGAGAAAACCTAAGTTATAAGTTGTGCATAGAATAATAATTAAATAATTTGGAATTGTGTGGCAAATATTAAATAATGGACAACATATATACACGTCTTTTGCAAATTATATATATCTTACTGGTTACATCAAAAAATGTAATAACATTTCTGGCCACCTTAACAGTGTTAAATTTGTGATCAATGCCAAAGATTTGAGAAAATAAAGACACAAGCTCTAGAATTAAAATCAATTAAGGTCAATGAACCTTTGGAATTGGTTGGAATGGATCTTATTGGTATATACATATAATTTATATTCCAATTTATACATCAGGTTAATTGCCTGGCAACATTTTGGCACTTTCAGTTTGTTTTTTATTCCAAGTCCTAATCAATTACGTGTTTTTCCGTTTAAGGACCACTTCCAACGACCTCAGCTGGGTAGAAGTATGTGCTAACCTTTACCGATTATTTTACAAAATATGTGACTTTTACCCATTGAAAGATGAGGCTGCAGCTGGTATTGCTAATTCTTTTAAAACATTTGTTTGCAGTATGTACTATTATACTACCTATCACACTATAGGCCATCAAATAGTGAGTATATTGTGTGTACTAAGGGCAATATAATCTTTATAAGACACTGAGGATGTTAATGTATTTTGTAGGTGGGGTGCCATGCTAGACTTCTGTCAGATCAAGGCAGAGTTTGTTGCACAGGTAAGAGAAATATTAATCTATGAGTGTTTATGCAAATTAACAACTACCTTTTCTGTACTAATTTCAGGTTAATAATGAAGTTTGGGCAACTCAGCACAACATTATCTTAGCACAACAATCTTAGAACAACATTATCTTAGCACAACAATCTCAGCACAACATTATCTCAGCACAACAACCTAAGCACAACAATCTCAGTACAATCTTAGCACATTTTAGCAACTGTAAACAAATCTTCAAGGCAAAAAATTTCAAGAATTCAATCAATCAACTCACCAGCGTTTTAACATATGAATGCGGGTCTGGAAAAGAAGGTAGATAGTTCGGAACATATGCTGGTCGACCTTCTTTCGTTCCTGACTGAAGAGGCTTGGGCTGCTGAAATGGTCGACTAACTGTGGCTGAAAATCACAAGGGATATTACTCATTCTTTGTTCTTTGCAATACAATTCAGAGAAAAACCAAATATTGTGGGAGATAAAGGTCACAGCTTCAAACCCACCTCCGTGGGGAGGGGGGTATCACAGTGTCAAGTGATGGGGCCCCATGCTTTAGGGCAGGGGTGGATCCAGCACTAGTGCACTAATTTGCATGACACAAGAAAACTGCTCAAAATAGCCATTTTGTTTTGTTATGCAAATTAGTGCACTAGTGCTGGATCCACCCCTGCTAAAGGTGGTCCACAAAAATGACAACGGATTAAATCAAGATAAGAAACAAGAAGTTTTCACAGTTCACCAAAATCCAAACTTTAGGGTTTTGAAATTAATACTGATAGGAATTATGGATCAATATATTGTCCATAATTACAAGGATTTGTTTCAAGGATGGTTTGGAACCTTGGGTAAATTTGACAATTTAATTGAGTTTAATCTGTGACCAAAATTTGTAAGTGTATATAGGCAAAGTCCTAAATTTAGCCAAATATTAGAGCAACAAATGGGGGGGGGGCATCAGTACAATTTAAAACTTATATATTACTCACGTCTTGGTATTAAAAATGCTTTTGCTGTTGGTTGCAAATTGGTATTTAGCCCATCCACATCTAGGCCTGCAAATTAACAATAAATCAGTCATCATATGCACAATTGAACAATTTTCAAGCTTAGCTTCATGCCTTCATGAATGAAAGACTTTCAGAACCCTATATGTGTGCTATAAATTATAAAAGTAATGCACATGTTTGCATTATTTAAATGATTGTTTACTTACCCATTTCAACCAGAGCCAACCTAACATCATTCAGAGTAGGTTTTGATCGCCCAGAAAGTTCACAAATTGCCAATGAGCTCCGTCCTATTTCACCAATATCTAAAAAATGTTAACTCAAATGACATAACTGGATAAAAAATTCATACATGGTTGGGGAGAAGATTGAAACATACTAACGCCCGTATTCAAAAAGCTCACTCATACTCATACTCATCGAGTGTGACATATAAATTTCTTTAATGCTGATCAATGAGAAAGTTTTTTCTGAATAGATGGAAAGATATAACGTAAATCACTGAAAATCAAGCCCCTGTTCGGCTGGAAATACCGCCATTGAAACGTTATGAGAAGATTAAGATCTCCCACTCAATGAGTTTGAGTGTGAGTGAGCTTTTAGAATACAGGCGTAATTAATATTGCAAATTTCACACTTGAGATGACTAAACTAGAAATGTTGTGGTATGAGGCTGAGCACAAATAAAGTCAAATTATATTTGTTATGATTAACTGAAAAAAAACTAGATAATAAGTTCCGAATGCAAATTTCTCTTCAATAAAACATTGATGTATCAAATTTTTGTACTTTCAAAGCTGAATCATATATTCATATTGGATATCTATAACATTATCAACGAGAAATGACAATGAAGTCTCAAGACTTACAACTTTGAATCATCTCAGTCAAAGTTTCAATAGCTTGTCTAGTTATAGAGTCATAACCCTTCTCCGAACATAAGGCACCTACAGCAGCTTTTAGATATTTCCTGTGCACCGCTACGGCGTCTGCCATCTTGAACTTTTTTTATGAACTCTAAACTGAGATGATAACATGCCAGGGGGGGTTGCGATTTGCGAAAGCCGTGTATTTGCGAAATTTCTCAGACTTTCTTCTCTAAACGATTACGAACGATAAACACTTTAACGTGAACATTGATAACTTATTCACTCTTGGTGTTTAACTTACTTATTTCGCAAATCCATCGTGATCAATTTGGAGTTTGGAGCGATCAGTAGTCAGTACATTTTCCCAATACAAATTCCAAGTGGTTATTCAATAAAGAATTTCTTTTTCTAAGTTGGGGTCGGGTAGGTAAAAATGACCATACGACCCACAACCATAAACGAATGCTGAATATTAACATTTGTGATAAAACTATCAATTAAAATTTCTTGGTATACATAAAAAGCAGTTACAACATGAAATCTATAAATGTTTTAGTTGCATTTTAGAAGCCAACTTTAACTTACCCACCCCTAGCCGGTGTAGTATTTCGTTACTGTTCTTCTCTTTGTTCCGCGCGGGAAGTGTCTTTGTTTCAAAGAGAAGTCAAACTTATCTTGTCGTTTGACTTTTGGCTTTTTGAACAACTGTAGTTGACATACACACTGTGTCAGCTACCTCATTTTTAACCGTATTTCAAAGACGTCTCGGCCTCCAAACCATAGAGGGCTATTCTCGGCGAAAAAGCGGAGAAACACATTGAAAACTTGTAAATCGCTGCAAGCAAGCACATGTGTATATTTTGTACAACATGCAATCCTTGCACGCTTACAAAAGAAAGCAGGAAAGCTCTAATTTTGCTGCTGCGAATGAACCTTTTGGTACATCAGAGCTAAATTCGGTAAGAATTTTATGTCTTGTGATGTATTTAGACGATATTTATGTATTTAGACGATATGTATTGATATTTGAAGTTGTATAAATATCGTAGTGCATTTTGTTGTACCCCTTTCTGTTAAATTACTGTATTAAATTACTGTAGTTATAGAAGTGTTAATTGTAATTTCACCGCTACTTTTTCGTGCCACACAATTAACATCGCGAAACTATAGCTGGTTCAACTGTACATACAAGATATTGCAATTTGTAAATACTGGATATGTTTTATGTTTACTATAAAGAAATATTCCCAATTTTTAACAACAAGGTTTTTTACAAATTGCCAGTTCAACTCAATGCTGATAGGTAATTACATTTCATAATATGGACTGTTAGTAAATAGACATCTGGATAAATACCAAACTATAAATGGTCTGAAAATTGCATGTCCTGTCATAGAGGAAAGTTGGTATCCACATGGTATCAAGTGGCACTAGACTTAGAGATTGCTTTTTATGTTATTTTACTATTATAGCGCACTTGATACACTGAGGTAGCAATAATATTTGAAATGAAAAGCACTGAAAATTTTAACAAGAATCACCATAGGACCATTGGGTAAATCTGACATTCGACAATGAAAAAACTTATTCATCCATTTTAATAGTAGGTAAAGGTAAAAAATGGTCTTTTCATGGTATATACTACATATCAAGCAATGAATCTAGTATCTTTCCTAATGTAAAAGCAATAAAAGTAGGACACATTCGCACAGCATTTAACCACATTCCTTAAGTATGCATATTTTTGTGCTAATAATATGCCTTAAATACCAGCCAATCAATTACAGATATGTTAACTGTTGGAAAAATTCAAACATGCTTATTTGATACCACTTAGTAAGCAGAGTCAGGTTATTACACTTTAGTGGCTGTATTTTTGCATTTATTGAAAAAATCACCATTCATTGGATCGCATTATCAAGCCTTGGTACAACCAGCCCCAGGGATAGATTGGGGGGATTATTTAAGAAAATATAAGTATCAAATTATGAGTGTTTTGGTGTATTTAGAGCCTTTTCTGAAGCTGTGACAATCTAGCTAGCACTTTTTGCTGTATATTAAAAATATACTTGAAATGTATATAGAAATATTAATATTTTTTAAAAATATTAAAAGTTTATTTGAAATGCTTTCCCTGAAAGGGATCATTTAAGCCATCGAAGAGCTCTTTTAGCATGAATGTGTTCTTTAAAACTAACTTGTTGTTAGTCAATACTTGGATCCAGAACAAATATGTAAAGACTATATGTTAAACAAACTATAAAAGGAGATCAAGTTAAAGCTGTTCATGGAAATGGGTTACAATAACATCAATTTACATGCATTATATTAGGTTTTACTTCACTCTTACTACGCCAGTAGTCAACAGGCAAAATGATGGTATCTGCCAGTAATTGACAAGCTTCAGATGCATTACCAGCTAATGAATTATATTCTGAAACCTAAGCATGTCATGTCAGCAATCTTTTTTTTTTTGCTTTAACCACATGTTTACAAAAAATCGTATCACCTAATTTTACAGCATCTGGAGCATATTTTTACTGCATATTCTGCTGTCCTCCTTGGGCTGGTTGCATTATAAATAAAATATAGCTTGTGACAATCAGTTTTTTTAGTTAACTATGATTGAACTAGTTACTTAAAATGTTTTGTACAACTGGTCTCTGGTATATAAAACTCTATGCCCTGCTTCTCATACACAGCAGCTGGCTCTAACCAAGGTCAGAGATTGCTGAGGTACAAACTAAAACCAAAATTCAATGATTTGTTTACCTTTTTAAAACTGTTTCATATACCAATGCATCTATACTATATTTGGATAGCAAATCTTTCACAGAATGTCAAGTGTTGTTGTCCAATAACTAAAAGTGAAGAAATGTGGCCTTTGCCTATAAAATAAAGGATACGTATTACAGGCCCTTCCTTAAAACCTTAAAATAACTTGCTGTAATATGAGCCACCAAGTTAGTGCGTTTACAGAACGGATATCTAAACCTGTATACGGGCCACTCCGGAAATATTGACTAGTGAATTGACGCGACCTCGATCAGATAACTTCCAGTTGTTCTTGGCAGAGTTCTCCACGAAATTGCACGAATGAGCCGGTGTTCAGCAAAAAGAAGATCCCGAATCACAAGACCTGTTGAGAATACAATATATGACTCGTACAATAAACGATTGAAATTGTAAATTTTCCACTCTTTAGTCATCTCCACCCAGACAAAATAAGTGAGTTTTTAGCAGCCCGATTTGTGCCATTTTTCTGGAGAAACTAAGAGGAAAGAAGATTCGAATTATCATGCGAATTATCAGGCAAGATAAATTATCGGCATAGCTTGTCGACGTAGGCAAACGTGCGCGCGTGTAGTTTCCAGTCTATGTATGATACCTCGCCCGCCGTACTATACAGGTCTTGTGTTTGCCGATGTGGCGACACGAAGTATAATCCAATACTTCATTTATGTACTTCGTTACAATCTGTACAGTTTGAATCTGTTATCTTTTTTATCTGACTGCATCTTTGATGTTACCTTCTCGAAAATCTAAAGACTAAACTGAATTGCTTCCTAATATATACTACATATAAGTCATATATCCGCATAATCTACGTATATCAGTCTAGAGTATTCTTTATCTGGCATATATACTAGTTCATGTAGGCACAACCAATGCATTAAAATATCATTGATAATATCGCCTAATAACTTGCGTTTTCTGACATATTATACAAAGGAAATAGAATCAATTTGTTCATTATAACTAAGGTACTGCGTGGCTAACATAGCTTCTCGTCAAACCTGGTATAAAGACTGCCTAAAATTCTTCACATTTTGATCTTAGGGCCCTCGTCAGATCATATTTACTGCCTTGACGACGGCCCTTGGGTCAACATGAACTCATGAAGCGATTATTTTCTATTTTAGACAGTTTATACCAGTATAATACAACATTCCGCGAGAAGTTCTAGATAGACAAACACCGCGGAAAAACGTCTGCGCACGCGTCAACTCTGCCTGTAAGTGAGATTAAAAATAATTAAAAAGCGGTTCCGAACGTTTCCGAAGGCTAAAAATGGCAGTAAAAAGGAGTGATTTCATTCGTGTCTTCAAATCCATATTTCGATGGCATAAATAAACACTGCATTATAGAAACTAAGAGAAAAAACGTCCAGCGAGTCCTAGAAGTGGCATCCTACAAAAACACCTGTAAAAGGTGACTGTTGACAAATTTTTCGTCTCAAACATTTTGTTTATCAAATAAGCAACGACAGTTTCCGAACTTTTGATTGAGACACGTTTTATTAAAAAAATATATGTCGCCAGATACGAGACGTTTGCGTGTTCTCAATGATTGAAAATTAAGATGTATTTTACAATTTAAATATATTAGAAAGCTTAACTTTCCGCGGGTTTTCTTAACTTTTAGGTTTAAACTTTTGTTTTCGAAAAATATTCTAAAGCCACCCCGTGAAAAAAAGGAAAATTTACCGTGAATTCCAGTTCGTTCGATACTCTAAATGCTAGAAGGCTTTTAATTTATGTTCTGTCTGGCCGTCTTGTATATTTTTGCCTTTTCTTAACTTATATTTTTATCAAATAATGGGCATGTTTTGTTCCAAAAGTTGATATTTAGATTTACCATAATATTTTGATATTTCGGCGCGTGCGCAGACATTTTTCCGCGGTGTTAGATAGACACCATTGGGGAATTGTCCGTTTTTTGCTCTTAGACCTGGCTGCGTACTAGGGTTTTGTGCCAAATTGTCCGGGTGATAAATAACATTCACAAATTTCATCTCTTAGAAAAAGCAACGTCTAAGCTATGAACAACATCCTATGAATGGCGAGCAGACCCAATACAATAATGATAACCACGTAGCCAATGGCTACATTCATGATCAGATGAATGGCCATTCGCAGACCAGTAACAACCATTTAGAAACTCCTGTCACCGTTCATTTACAAGAAGATGAAATGGCCAGCGATGTTGGCAGGGTTCCTGAACCAATGGAATGTGCCGAGGAACAGAGGGAGTCCAAGACTGAAGTGAATGGTAACTTGGTGCCAACTTCCAATGGGAAGTATTGTCCTCATGGTCATCTGAATATGTGTACAACTTACAAGTAAGTAGAAATAGCGGACTGAGAAAGTAGAATTTAATGAACTGGCGAGTCTGTGAAGATTGCATATGATCCACTGTATGTTTTGTATATTTTTGCCGTCATTCTCAAAAATCACCTAAGGAATTCTCCTTAAGCTACAGGGAGCCACTTCTTTTCGTTACCTTAAGATCCAATGTTTTACTTGTAAATTCAAGATATGAGTTATAAAGACAATCGATTTCATTTCAAAGTCATTCTCAAGCCACATTTTTTTGCTTTTAAGTGTTCCTTGTCGATATCCCAGAATGTATTGCCACCCTGGTGGTTTGCTAGAAGATCGCTTATCGATATATCATGGCATCTGATTCGACGTCGTAATCATCTTCAGAATCACAGAATCATATTGACAGAAGAGCTTTAAGGTTAATATATTTAGGAAACGAAAACCTAATGTATAGTTGTAGAGATAAAGGATTTTTTAGTTTTGTGAGTATTATATTATCGTTGAGTAAGTTAATAACAGTATTTCAGAAGCATGTAATATCATGTTGTATATATTTGTAGAGAATGTGTTAGTAAGATATCTGTATGGTTTGCTATTATTTTATTGAATAATGTGTAAAACGAACACGTTGCCATTTTTCCCTACATTTTATTTCGCCATTAAACGTTATTCCTATTACATGTTGTCAGAATTAAACGTTTTAACCTTTCATGCTTGCAGCGCTCGCTAAACTTAATTCTGATCTTGCATGTGGACTGCTGTTAATTTATCTAAACTAAGGGGCTGTTTACATGAGCCCGGTTACCCGAGATTCAACGAAGCGTGAGAGGACTTTGAGGTATTGAAATAAGTCTTTATGTCACCAAACAAGCACATGCTATTGTTGTGGTGCTTATACGACTACCAGAATCATGTTATCTGCTCATTTCAATACTTCAAAATCATCTCACGCTTAGTTGAATCTCGGTAACCGGGCTCATGTAAACAGCCCCTAAGAACTCCTGTTAGGAGTTTCTTTCTTTCATTGAATGGTGTCGTTACGAAATAACCATGATTTTGTTTACCTTTTCTAGTTCGACAGATTTTACATATTTTAGACTTCTTCATATTACGACGTATGCCATACAACTAAATTAACAGCATTTTGCATTTCTTTTTGGCTTTAGCTGTTAATGTTTCAAAACATTACTCACAAATATTGTATATTTTTCTCGTTTTTATTTAGAAGTTTCTGCTTGGTAGGTTTACTTAGAACTAATATTTCAGGCGCTGGCTCTTAAAACATTTTAATTAATCGAAGTTTATTTTCATTTTATTTCATAGGGCTTGCATTGTATCCATTGCATCTAAATGGAGCTCGTTGCGATGAAGGCATGGCAGGGCGGTGAGTATAAATATTTTGAGTAATTTTTCCAGACGGTAATTCCTAGGTTTGCCAGATAGTCAATACAGTTACTGATATAGGAAGTGTGAAGTTGTGGTTTACGTTTCGAGTTTGTACCCGTCTTAGACACACTGTGCAAAACTCCGCTAGTAATTTGCCAGCCGTATAAGTCCAATCTAACGCCTGTATTCTAAAAGCTCACTCACACTCAAACTCATTGAGTGGGAGATCTTAATCCTCTCATAACGTTTCAATGGCGGTATTTCGAGTCGAATAGGGGTTTGATTTTCAGTGATTTACCTTATATCTTTCCATCTATTCAGAGAAAACTTTCTCATTGATCAGCATTAACAAAATTTATATGTCACACTCCATGAGTGTGAGTGTGAGTGAGCTTTTTGAATACAGGCGTAAGTCTTCTCTTAACCTTTTTCCTTCTTATTAACAGTAAAGGTTTAGGATTATATTCGCGGATTTGGATGTAAAACTACTCCCGAAAACAACTCAGCATCATATTAAGACCTATGCATGTATAAACTCTTGGTTTATAGGACCAGCGGTCTCAGGTGTATATTGAATTGTTAAAAATTGAATGGTAAGTCAAAAAATAAGTTTTCAAGAATCGATAGAGTTAATAACATTGATTCAAGATAAATAATATATTATTTATAATTGTATGATAATTCGAGCTTAATGTTGTTTGTGTAAAATGAGGAACCTTTTCAATATTTTGATAACAGGTACATTCACCGCCAAGTTTGAATACAATATAAACTGACAAGATCGCGTTAAAGTGTATCGTTTGTTTGCAAGATGTCAATGCATGGTTCGTATACACGTTATTATATGAAGATTTCGGTTTCGTCACGGCGATATTTATTGAGTTACAAAGCCAGAAGGGAAGGCGTTTATAACGCTTTAACTTTAAACAAGAATTCCAAAAGGCTTTATCATTCGGAACTGGCTTCACCTCTTTAAGTTTGTTAATTGCATGTACTAAATCAGTACGAGTTCTTTAGCCAAATCATCAAATATTCCGAGTTAGAGTTGCATCATTGACACGAGCTTTTGGACCAGTGTAGTAAATTAATAGAAAGGTATATTTGTTATTTATAGGTAGGAGTTGCTTCTTTTTATTTATAGAATGTTTCAAAATGCTGGCTCAAAACGCAAAGCCAAACGAGTCGTTTAACATCTTGACATTCTTGTTCGACCAAGCCAACGGTGTTTTGAAAAACCCATATTGGCCTCGTTTGCATGGATACGTTTAAGTTAGATTTACCAAATGCAAGACATGCCATAATGTGTTTGATTGGCCGATTTTTGCGATTTGCTATTATGCACCTGTTTAATCTATTCCGCGGTCACGGAGGTTGCTTTGGCAGGCAGGTTGAAGCATTTCCTAACTATGTATGCAATATTTTAGACAAACAAGTGTTCGAATTTCCTTGTCTCTAGTATATCCAGGTTGGCGCAGTTTCCATCTATAGTCTCTAAACGTAGTCTTTGGATCCTTGAGTTCACGATTTACTGGTAGCGTGGAAGGCACTGTAGATACTCTGACGACTTGACATACATCGATGACCTGCGTGTGTGTATAGTGGAATTCGTCCATAATCAGGTATAAACGCATCCTATTGCTTATAAAGTTTATGCCTGGGTTTTTTTAGAAGTACGTCGTACTACTACTGCCTTTCATTGGTGGTAATTTCAGGGGAATTAGGGGACTTGTAAGCTGACCGAAGATCTCGCAAAAGTATACGCTATATATAAAGCTTTGCGTTTTAAACCGTTTTTGTTCTATATTAATATTATTCCGATCGACACAGGATAATCGCTGTTTGACTCGGCTAATGCCTACCGTTACGACCGTTCTAGCGTAATACTGAATTTGTTGCCTGACACAAAGTATTAATTTTGCAATTCTTTGTATCTAGATCTCAATTGTATCGTCTCCTTCAATAAAACCTCGAAACACAGCCGAACCTACAACTTCGCCAATACGTAATGGCTAACGAGACTGAACCAAGCAAACAAACAGAGGAACTAAGACAAAAACTAGATGAACTACGAGAATCCAGAGAATCCGCAGAGGAGACCCTTTCAGACTGCCGCATGAGATGGGATCGAATGAAGGAGGAAGAAATGAGATTTGCTGACCCCGAAGACGTTGAGGGATTATTGGAAAACTGCGATGACGACTGCAGTGGAACTCGCCAGCGGTGTTCGGCAATAGAATGGACATTTGTGGATAACAGTGAAAGGATGGGAGTGCCTGAAGATAAAGAGGAACAATCGTTGTGTTCGGTGTTAAATGTGATATGGATGGAATTGATTGGTCTCGTTTTGACTGTCTACACGTTAATACGAACATCGAAACGTAAAGAATGAAATCACATGTGATATTTATAGTTAAAATTAAAAACAATCTGTGTATTGTGAGTTTTGAAGACATTTTTAGTAAATTGTTCAACAATTCATCTTTGTAGTTCGTTCTTGTCTTTTCTGTACAGCCTATACAGGTTATATTATGGATCCAAGAAAAGGACAGTGGTGTATTGAATGTCTATTCATCTTATTCGAATTCATTTTCAAATCATTTTCGATCGTGCAACGTATACTACGGGTAGCAGTGGGTATTTTTTCTGAACGATTTGAAGGCAACCCGCTCATAACGTTGATCAAAACAAATGGTATTTTATTGTTGTAATAAATATAACCAGCTATAACTACCCAAAATTAATGAAATTATGAGCAATCGCCTGAGCTATACACGATCTACATTTTTATTTATACGGACTTACATGCAGCGTTATGATCGAATATAATGGAATTTGTAAATTCTGGTCGCAGATTGTCTAAGCACCGACTTGATGTACACGATGTAAACACGAATTCCCGCCTCTTCAAAAGTACTTTATATAGGCGATTCAAAAATACTTTATCTGTTGCAAAAGCGGGTCGACTGCTGTTAAAAGTTCTCAACTACGAATGTTTACGAGTAGCGCTTGCGATCATGTCTTTTGTGCTGGTGATATTCTGTGCTCGTGCGTTTTCTTTCCAGCGCGAAAGCGGTAAAAAATTTGTGACGTCAACAATACATGCGAGCCATGCCAAATGGTCTAAAAAACGTCATCTGCATGAACGGGAGAAATAACGGAGCAGACGAAGGATCACGGTGTATAGACATTGACGAAGATGAAAGATTGAGGTTGGAAAAGGATATTGAAGTGCTTCAAAAGAGAATATGCGAATTCGAAGTCTTCTTGATGCAGATGGACGCGGCTGTGGGTGGTTTGCAGAAAGAACGGGATAAAATTGATCTGGAAAATATCGAATTGCAAAAAGAGAATGAACGATTTCATCAGGAAATAAAGTTTGAAAAAATACACAATGCTGATCTTAAGAATGAACTGAAGAAGGCAAGGCGAAATCGGATAGCATTTAAAGAAATAGGTATTTCACTTCTCCGCAATGATATAAGATGTGGTCGATTAACAAATATCCTAAACAAAGAACCGTTCGATATTTAATGTAGTAAATTTTAGCGGGATACATTTCGAAAACATCGTTCAGTTACAGTTTTGTTCAGAAAAGGTCTTCAATATGGACGCGTTTTCTCAATTTAGACAAGGAGTACTCTAACCCCACCATATTTGGAAGCGTTCATCCTGTATCAATTATCAAATCAGTTATTCAGAGAATGTTATTGTTCACATGGTGGTCAGGATTCTGGTTTTATGAAGGTACTAATGATGGTATATAGTATTTTAGTGCGTTCCTTCTCGAAACAAGAAGATTTGAGATAATAGTTACACAAATATTTAGTCCAGTTCTTTAATGGCTTAAAATATAGGAGTCAAGTCTTATGTAAACAGTAAACAAAGGTTTCTTTACCTCGTTGAACTCCAATACTTTTCAAAATACGATGTGCTATCTAAATATCTAACGCTATTTAGGTTCGTAATCCTTCTAAACAAGAGTTTACGTTAAGGAAATTTTAACAACAATCATTACATAAAAATTTGACATTATAATGCGCATAACTGACTGATTTCTACCTTAAACTTTTGGCAAATACTGAAATCTTAGTGCTACGTATACATCTTTCAGGTCTTTCGATTTTCGGTTGGGAAAACAAATGGGAAAAAATGGAGCGAAAGAAAAAACGTTTGGAAGAAGAAAACAAGGAAATCGAGAGTGAAGTTACCCGTTTGCGAAAATACATCGCCGAGCAGCAGAAAGATTTGATCTCGCAAAAACACACCAACTTCGAGCTGTTAAATCAACTGACAGAATGCGTTGATGTAAACAATAGAAAGATTATGGTACTGGAAGAAATTTGGAAGAAAGTTGAAGGATATACAAATATATTAGAAGATCATTTTGTTGAGCTAAAAAATCAGGATTGGCCAGCACGCGTTTCGCGCGGGTCCGAAGACTCGCAGGACGATATTACGCG